CAGGAGGCTGACCTGGTTCCTTGAGACCAGCAATATTCTTCGGAGTGAACAAGCAGGATTAAGGCCACAAAGGTCAACGAACCAACAAGAAGACACTTTCTCCCAACACATCAAAGATGCCCTTGATGCAAGAAATACATACAAACACATCAAAGATGCCCTTGATGCAAGAAATACCCTTAGTCTGTTTTCGTCAATTTCAAATCAGCATATGACTTAGTATGAAAAGTTCAGTCAGCATATGACTTAGTATGGAAAGAGAAGCTAATTCTACTCTTACGGCTGTTTTCGTCGACTTCAAATCAGCATATGACCGATAGAGAAGCTAATTCTAAAATTGGCAAAGATTGGTATTAAGCATAAGATGCTAAGCTTGGATAAAACATATGAACAAAGATCGTGTAAAGTCAGATATGGAAATGCTCCATCATTAAAGTCAGATACGGAAATGCTCTATCAAAATCCAATCTTTTGCAAACGGGCTGCGCAGGGAGCTGTCACAAGCTGCACTCTTTTCAATGTCTTCCAGGGAGCTGTCACAAGCTGCACTCTTTTCAATGTCTTGACAGGGAGCTGTCACAAGCTGCACTCTTTTCAATGTCTTCATCGATCTCATCATTGACATAGCCGAATTGGTACAGACAGTCACGGGCGTGGAGTGCTTACTTTATGCAGATGATCTTGTTCTAGGGTATTCAGGGTGAGGTCTTCTTTTACTTCTTTTTCTTTTCAAGTGCTTACTTTATGCAGACGATCTTGTTCTATGGTATTTTGCTTACTTTATGCAGATGATCTGGTACTATGGTATTCCGGGCTTACTTTATGCAGATGATCTTGTTCTATGGTATTCCGCCTACTTTACGCAGATGATCTGGTACTATGGTATTCCGCCCCCAAGGAAAAAAGCTAAGGAGAGGACAGAAAGTGTCCTAAATTGTGCACTTAAACTGGGAGAGGACAGAAAGTGTCCTAAATTGTGCACTTAAACTAGAGCAAACTAGTGTGACAACAATGGAATGGTAATTAACACCGCTACTGCATTCCAAACATTTCCTCTCCCTCGTCTTAGCATAAACCCGCGCTGCGTTCCAAACATTTTCTTTGGCCCATCACAATATAAACCCGCTTTTAAGGTACAAGGATATTACCCTAGAA